TCAGCACACCTAATAATTACTGTTCCCAGAGTACGGTTCAGGGTCTGATGGAGCTGTACAACACTTTCATTTCAGCAGAATCTGTTCTCCTGCTCTAATGCTGGTAACCTACTTCAGTGCGTCATTAGCTCCCACTTCAGGTTTTAAGCCTCAGGCAGTGCTGAGGAGAGAGAGAGAGAGGGTTGAGTGAGAGCAGACCTGTGTATCTCTGAGCCTCACAATAAAGGAAGAAAGTTTCCTCTAAAGCACTTCAGCAACTTAGCTACAGTAAACTTTGTCCAGTATGTCGTGGTTAAAGAGGACAAGCCCTGGTTACAGAATGGTTCCACAGGTAGATTTCTCCTGCAGAACTCTCATTTCCATTCCATACATACAGGAAACCAGGTTTCTAATCAGCTTTGTACAAGCACTCATTAACAAAGTGACAAAGTGCTGCAGACAGAGGAGATACTAGTGGATGAAGGAAGAGATGAACTGCCATCTTTGACTTATTCCAGTCATCTTCTAGCAGCCTAAACACAACTGCTGAACATTTGACTGTGAAATTCAACACACTTGTGCAGTGTTTGTGTCTATTTGCCTCTCACTGCACCAAAAGCCTTTTACTGATGTTGCCGTGTTCCCAGATGTCAGCAGTTAACCCGGTTAGTGCAGTGCTATTATTACTGAGAGAAACAATGATCTGATTTGTGTGACTGGGGGAGGAAGCATCCTCCGGTGCACATTGAGGTAGTTTAGGGCCTCATTATGGATCACACAACGAGAACTTGCTGACTGAGACAAACAGAGCTGGAATGGCCATGTGCTGCATGTACAGCCTCCATCCATCCTGCTACTGGTGGGATGTACCCTTAAATTTCAACATTCATATTTCAAAATCATTTAATTAATCATTTAAATTATTGTATAGCTCTGCTGCAACAAACGTTCTATGAAGTGACATGAACATATGGCCTGGAGACTAATACCTTTAATTAATACTGCTCTGCTTAGGGCCTCAACAGACCAGAGCAAAAACACAATAAGGTCAAAACAAAAATAACTTTGGACTAGACAGACAGTTGCTCACAATGTCTCGCTGGCAGTAAACACTAATTCAGTTTCAGTTTGTATGCATATTTACATCTACAAAACATCAAGAGACAACATACAGACTGTACATCCCTGAGAGTGTCCAAATGTCTCATTGATGTGGCTTAAAGAGGAAACTCGGCTACATAAATACTGTACTTATACACTCGTTGATATTTCTCTAGTCATACAAACATGGAAATTGAAATGTTAAAATAATGAAAATATACTGAGAGAGGTTGAATATATATAATCAAGAGAGGCTGAACTGGTGAGAAAGGGAAATGGGAAGGAGTGCAGAGAGGGAAAAACTGAGAGGAAGAATCAGAGACAACTGAGAGAGTTACTAAGGGAAAAGGCCAGATAACAAGACAGAAAAAAAGAAAATACAGACAGAAAAGAAGGAGGGAGGGTAGTTCTACCAGAGGATGAGAGATGGAAAGAGGTGTCAAGGGGATGCAAAGCCCCCCTCATTATTTTCCAGTCCACTAGACAGCTGATTTCTGCTTTAGCTGCAGGTCTCAGTAGTTGAGCAGCACTCTCTCATGGCAAAGCTTCAACATGTGGCACAGTCTCAAATAATCACATTAAAGGGACGTAACCCACATTAATGTTCATTTTGTCCAACGTGGAATAAATGAAGACTTGTCTCTCAAATGTACAGTGGGTATGGAAAGTATTCAGACCCCCTTAAATTTTTCACTCTTTGTTATATTGCAGCCATCTGCTAAAATCATTTAAGTTCATTTTTTCCTCATTAATGTACACACAGCACCCCATATTGACAGAAAAACACAGAATTTTTGACATTTTTGCAGATTTATTAAAAAAGAAAAACTGAAATATCACATGGTCATAAGTATTCAGACCCTTTGCTGTGACACTCATATATTTAACTTAGGTGCTGTCCATTTCTTCTGATCATCCCTGAGATGGTTCTACACCTTCATTTGAGTCCAGCTGTACTGAGGGGATAAGAGTAGAAGAGTTTGTACAGACAGTTACTGATGACTGTGCATCGACCTGACTGGTGGAGGCTGGAAGGGTTGAGTGGAGCCGAGGTCTGGAGGTAGTAGTCCGTGGAGGGAAACGAGGAGAAATCCGGTAGTGGAGAGGCAAGGCAGAGGACTGGGGGAAACTCAACGGGAACTAGACCAAACATACAGAGAAAACAAACTGGGTAGCCGAATGGTAGAAACAACGTGAGGGCCACCACTGTTGGAAATGTATTGGACAGGTGATGAGCAGTTCCTGGTTTTCTACACACATACTGCTTAGAATTAAGGCCAAAAAGTTCTATCTTGGTCTCATCAGACCAGAGAATCTTATTTCTCACCATCTTGGAGTCCTTTAGGTGTTTTTTAGCAAACTCCATGCAGGCTTTCATGTGTCTTGCACTGAGGAGAGGCTTCCGTCGGGGCACTCTGCCCTAAAGCCCCGACTGGTGGAGGGCTGCAGTGATGGTTGACTTTTTACAACTTTCTCCCATCTCCCGACTGCATCTCTGGAGCTCAGCCACAGTCATCTTTGGGTTCTTCTGTACCTCTCTCACCAAGGCTCTTCTCCCCTGATAGCTCAGTTTGGCCGGACGGCCAGCTCTAGGAAGGGTTCTGTTCGTCCCAAACGTCTTCCATTTAAGGATTATGGAGGCCCCTGTGCTCTTAGGAACCTTAAGTGCAGCAGAAATTTTTTTGTAACCTTTGCCAGATCTGTGCCTTGCCACAATTCTGTCTCTGAGCTCTTCAGGCAGTTCGTTTGACCTCATGATTCTCATTTGCTCTGACATGCACTGTGAGCTGTAGGGTCTTAGACAGGTGTGTGGCTTTCCTAATCACGTCCAATCAGTATAATCAAACACCGCTGGACTCAAATGAAGGTGTAGAACCATCTCAGGGATGATCAGAAGAAATGGACAGCACCTAAGTTAAATATATGAGTGTCACAGCAAAGGGTCTGAATACTTATGACCATGTGATATTTCAGTTTTTCTTTTTTAATAAATCTGCAAAAATGTCAAAAATTCTGTGTTTTTCTGTCAATATGGGGTGCTGTGTGTACATTAATGAGGAAAAAAATGAACTTAAATGATTTTAGCATTTGGCTGCAATATAACAAAGAGTGAAAAATTTAAGGGGGTCTGAATACTTTTCGTACCCACTGTATATGTCAGACCACAGCGACTGTCTGAAATGCATCAATGAATATATATGATTCTGTTATGTCAAGTTACTTTATGAAAAGAGACGAGCAATAAAAAACACCGTTAGGCGATTTGTAGTGGTTGAGTTGAGGGAAATGTTTTTGCTGTCCTTGGATGAATAAAAGAAACAATTTAAACCAAATAAAATGGGAAGGAAAGAAGGAGAGAAGGACTGTAGAGTAATGCAAGAAAGATGTGTTGGAAACACATGGTGCCGTGGCACACGTGGTGACAGAAGAACCGAGGGCTGAGACAACGTGTGAGCCATGCAGGACATTTGTCTGGCGGGGGGGTGAGAGCAGAGAAGCCAGTGGCACCAACTCTTTGTAAGCTCAAACATGGCCTTGTTATAAAATGTTTCAGTAAGAAGAGATTTACTATATTAAAATGAGCTACAGCACAGAGACTAATTTTTCCTGGCCCAGCTGACAAATCTAGCTTGCTCAGTTTCTGCTGTTGCTGGTAAATAGGACGGTACTATGATGGGTTGACCTACGTTAATCTGCAACGAAGCACATGACGACACCAGTGACCAAAGGACTTCACACACAAACATAGTGATGGATGTAGCTGCTGTAGCACAGTCAGGACAGGAGAAGAGAAGAGAAGAAGGGGAAGGAGAGGACAAGTGCAGAGATGACAGGTCAAGAGTGGGGAGGGAGGAGGAGGAAACGGTGGCGGTGGGTGGCACTGACACACAGTCTGGAGAGAGAAATTAAACAGAGCCAAGATAGGGAGCAGAACATCTAGAGAGAAAGAGAGAAAAGACAGTGTGGCCTGAGGGTAAGAGAGAAGAGACTCATTGAGAGAGGAAGAGAATAAAAGTGCAAGATGATTAAAAAGACTATATCTATACAAGCATGAATAAAACAGCTAATGCATGTCTGCGGGGCACTTTTTCTTTCTGGTTCGCTTTGCTCATGCTCACACGGCCACAGCCTGGATCCTACCTGTCCTTAATAACAGGCACAGCTTTTCATGTCAGAAGGACTTGGCCTCTCTCGTTCTCTTTACGGCACACATGATAGATTCCCCAGTACAACCTGCTGACTGTGGCCCAGTCCCATTTCTTATTTTTTTTACCCCTACCCCTTGCTTTCAAGTTAATCCTCAAAACAAAGTAGTGGCCACAATCTTCCCCTATAAAATGGGAAAACCACTCTGCGTCATCAGTAGTTAATGACGATGGTTAAATAAACAGACCACTCTGCAGACAAAACTAATCAGCAGCAGCATCAGTGGGTGCTCCAACAAACAGGTAAACTGCACTGACTGGGTTGCCTCGCCACATCGTGTGGCCTCAGGCCTCTGTCTGGACCCTGTTTGATAGTTCACAGTCTATCGCCACCAGACTCAGCTGGGTTAAGCAAACAGCCTAATCTAATGCTGATGAAGTCATGCACAGATACCCTGAGGGTGCTGTGTCTCGGTCCTCTTGTCTCCATGTCACATAATAATTAGTCTTCCATCCAGCGCTGCAGCTGGAGTGCAGCAGGAAGTGGCGGGCACAGGCAGGCCTCTGATTGGGCGCCTCTGGAGACGAGGTGAATGCCAGCTGGCGGTGAGCACAGGCCAGACAGCCAGGCTCATTCGCACAGATCTGAGGGACAATACAAAGCTGGCACACACAGTCTGCTCGCTCTCATTAGGAATGTGTGTCTGTGTGTGACAACATGTGTGTGTGTGTGTGTGTGTGTGTGTGTGTGTGTGTGTGTGTGTGCGCGCTTACTTTAAGCACGTCCTTGGGAAAATCTTGGCCGTTATTCAGTCCTTCCAGGTTGCCAATGAACTGTGTGCACGACATCCTCTTGCCAATGTTCTGCAAACATAAAAATATGTGTGAATGTACTTTTATTTTATACAAATACTTAGTATTTGAACCCAAACTGCCTTGATTTCAATTAATGATGCAAATTTTCATTCAATTTTTATCAAGCTCAAACACAGTCAGATAAAACCCAGTGACGGTGGGACAGGCCATGATGTGTTTCAGCTATACTCACTGGATCCACTAGGCTGAAAAAAAGACATTTATCATATTGAAAAATGTGAAACTCTGACAGGAAAGATTTAAATTGAAGCACCCTAAAGGTCAAATAGGAATAATAAAAAAAACCCCGATAATGAATATACTGTAAGATAATTTGTTACTGGAGCACTGCACCCGAAAGTCTTCAGTAGAACAGCTGCTATGATGATGTTGAAATTAGTCGATTAGACCTCAGTACACAAAACAGCATGTGTTTAAATTAAGCCTAACATTTAAGGTCTGAGAACTTTATTAACTGAAAAATTTAGATATAGAACAAAATATTGGTTTGAAATCTGTACTGAATTTCAAGTATTGTATTGGAACTAAAAAGTTATACCGAGATCAATTAGTCCATTAATCTAAATTTTGGTAATCAAGTATCATTTGACTGCTAATGTTACTCCAGCAATTTAAATATGAATATTTATGCCTTTTTCTCTTCACCTTTTTAATATTCTTGAAGTAAAATTCATACTGTTGATCAACCAAATCAAGCAATTTGAAGATGTCATTCTGGGCATTTTTCACAATTTTGTATCATTTTAGAAGATAACTGATAGGCTGTTTAAAAACTCACAGCCGGTTGCAATCAGTCCCTTTCTGTCACTGTGGTGATCAGGATGAGGACGGCAGTGATGATCACAGTCACAGTAAAGGTCAGACTTGTTAAATGTGTCGAAACTTTCCTGGTGAGCTCTTCCCTGTAAGAGCTGGTCCCCTCTGCAGTCACTTTAATTAATCATCCCTCCACATAATTTTTGGATATAGTGGGATATAAGACTGCTGTGTTTATGTATAAAGCCAGGAACAATTTATTACCTGGTGGAATTCAAAAGTTATTTAATGAAAGGGAAGGGGGATACAATTTAAGGGGTCAGTTAAATTTAAAAATTTATGCTATACGTACAACCAAAAAAAGATTTTGTATTTCCATAAGTGGGGTAAAATTATGGAATAATTTAAATGTGGACATACAAAATAGTAATAGAATTGACGAGTTTAAACATAAATATAAAGGTATGTGTCAATC